CACTGGAAAACGTAATCACCGCTTGAAAACATACCAACATAAGTGACGAAAAGATTCTGGAGAAAAAAAAAAAGATAAATAGCAGATGTTGAGGATGGTAAAAAAAATTGGCGTTCACCTTTATGGGGCCCACGCAGGTAGTTGTTAGAGCTGAGTTGAAATGTGTGCACAAAACTAAGGAGTAGTTCAGGGCGAATCCGCATACACAGGAGACGAAGAAGCAGATCCAAACTGAGTTTGTCATGCGATCAGAAAACATGAAGGAGATTGCCTAATAACAAAAATTGGCGTAGAACAAATGTCAGAAAAGTATGAAAACGATTGCAAATTTGAAATTCTAAAACACAGTGTCACTGACATGATCAGTATCACCCGTGTACGTGATAAGTAGTAACGTTGGAATTAGCATGAATAGCGAATTATAGAACATCAGACCGTATTTCCCTAGTTCCTAAATGAGAAAAGACTGGAAAAAACCCAACGAACTCTGCAAAAGTCTCTCTCTTAAAAAAGATAAAACTTTTCCTTAAGAAAAAAATGACTTGATGCAAATTTAAAAAATATTATGCACCTTTGCTTCCAACTTCTGTTTCGTGTATACTCCCAATGCGGCCGTGCAAATATCATTCAGTCCAATAAGAATGTAACCATACAGATCGAAAGTGAGATCAAAAAGTGCAGCAATGATAGATCCAGTGATCATCAAACACACTGATATGCGTACCGCTCTTGAAGCATTTATTCTAGAACAAAACCGTTTCGAAACTCAGATTGGAATGCCAGTAAGGAATTTTTGAATTATCAAACCATTCTTTTCCGTATCGAAGTATGGAAGAAGACCACACTCATTTGATACAAATAACACTGTTTACTTTTATTTACTGGTATATCATAAAATAATATTAGAATCCTCAAGAATTGAAATAGTAATTTGATCGTAATGAATTTTCTACGCCTCCCAATAAAGGAGGCGTATCTTTCTTATCCTCTCTTCCTCCTTCTCTATCTCTCGCTTTTCGCTTGTTCTATCTCGCGCACCTCTTTAATTTTCTGCAACTACCATTGTTACCAACCTATAATTGATTTACTACGAGGCATGAGAAAGAGAAGCAACATATTAACACGCCCTCCTTAGCAATATTAGTTGCACTTCCCTTTAATTTTCAAATACTCTGAGATACAAACAAAATTAAGGTTATTCTATGTGCC